CATCACCCAACCACCCATCCATCATCCATCATCCATCCATCATCCATCATCCATCATCCATCATCCATCATCCATCATCCATCATCCATCATCCATCATCCATCCATCATCCATCCATCATCCATCCATCCATCATCCATCATCCATCCATCCATCATCCATCCATCCATCATCCATCATCCATCCATCATCCATCCATCATCCATCATCCATCCATCATCCATCATCCATCCATCCATCCATCATCCATCCCTTCATCCTTCCCCTTGGTGTCCCTGGTGTCCCTTGGTGTCCCTCACGCTGTGACCCCTCACTGATGTCCCCGGTGTTGTCCCCACAGAAGGAGACGCTGCCCCCGAGCCGCCTGGCCCCGCTGCCCCCGGCGTTCTCGCCGCGGGTGCTGCCGGCCCAGGCCACCGAGTACACCTTCGCCTTCATCCAGGTGCCGCAGGACGTGAGTACGGGGGGTCCCACTGTGCCCCCACACCTCGGCCCCAGCCCTGAGCCCCTCTGTGACCCCTCTCTCACCTTGGACCTCCACCCCGTGTCCCACCCGTGGGCCCAGACCCACACCCCAGCCCCAGGTCCCACCTGTGGACCCCAACCCTGGGACCAGGGGCTGGACCCCAAACTTGGTCCCAGTTGGGAACGTTTAACCTGGAACCCGAACGTGTCTCCTGACCCCGAACACCAACCCCAGGTCCCCAGTTCGCGCCCTGAACCCCAAAACCCCAACCCCAATCCCAGGGGAACCCCAAGCCCACGGTTGTGGAGTCCCCAAAACACCCAGGGGGGGTCCCTGGGGTCTGGGGGGGGTCCCTGAAGGCCACAGAGCACCTCTGAGGGTTCGAGGGTCCCCGACAGTCGTGGGGGGTCCCCGAAGGCCGGGGGGCATCTGTGGGGTGCGGGGCGGCCCCGCGGGGTCCCCGCGGGGTCGGTGACGGGCGCGGCCGCAGGAGGAGGCGCGGGCGGACGCGGTGGACAGCGTGGTGAGGGACATCCAGAACACGCAGTGCCTGCTCAACGTGGAGCACCTGGGGCCCGGCTGTCCCCACGTCACCCTGCAGTTCGCCGACTCCAAGAGCGACGTGGGGCTGGGGCTGGTCAAGGAGGGGCTGGTGATGGTGGAGCCCCGCAAGGAGAGACAGTTCCAGAAAGTGGTGGGTGCTGGGGGGCTGGGGGGGGGTTCTGGAGGTTCTGGGTGGGTGTTGGGGGGGGTGTTCTGGGGGGGCCGGGTGGGGGCGCCGGGGGGG